TTCTTGCCAATACCCTCTGCTTCTGTGCCTCACCCCCAAAGTTCCTCCTTCTTGCCCCTAACACCCCTAACAGCTCCACATAAGGGCCTGTGCAGGGGGTAGGGTATAGCTCAGGGGTAGCGCACATGCTTAGCATGCATGAGGTCCTGGGTTCAATCCCCCGTATCTCCATTAAAAAAAATTGTTCTTTTTTTTTTTAAGAAAAAAAAGAGCCCATCCTTCAGTACAGCATCCTGATTAACAGCATGGCCTGGAGATGGGTGCACTTAGGCTCAAGTCTTGGCTTCAGCCCTTCCTGGCTACCTGACTTTAGGTAGCTCACTTCACCTCTTGGAGTCTCAAGCGTCCTCAGTTTAAAACGGAATTACGATGATAACTCCTCCCCACTCCCATGTTGTAATGGAGATTAAATTAGGTGCTTTTATAAAGAGTGTAGTACAGAGCATGGCACAAAGTAAGAGCTCAGAACATGTTAATTATTATTTCTTCAAGACTTATTAACAAAATGTATAGTGCACACACCATGTGCCAAGCACCATGCTGGGCACTGGACGAAGAGAACAGGCAGGCGTTCTGTGTCCATGGAGCTCCCATACCAGTAAGAGAGACAGGTTTTAATGAAGCCTCTGGCAGAAAACTTAAGTTTTCTTACAAACTGTGGGGAGTGCCACCCAGAGTGACCATCTCGCATGGCTCTGAAAAATGGGCACGTTCCAGTGGGGGAGCTGTGAGACTCTCAGAGCCGAGGGGAGTTACTCCAGGTCACACAGCCAAGAAGTGACAGCCTGGGATTCTCTGAGTGTGTCCAAGGGGGACCTGGTCAGAAGTGGGGCCTGAGAGTGGGTCAGAACAGCCCTCTCTGATCACGGAGTGAAGGAACGAGGGCCGAGGGGGTGGTGGCTGGGAGGTGGAGCGTAAGCATTACCAGCAGAAGGAACAGCATGTGTGAAGCCTCTGGGCGGTGAAAGCTTGGTGTGATTTCCAGGCTGGTGTTACACAGTATGTGACAGCACTTAACCTGGTGCCTGGCACACAGTAGCCCCTCAGAAAAGGCTGGGTCTCCTTTAATATGAGGACCTTTGTCCCCATCAGGCATTGTCTCTGAGTGGGATAGGCCCAAGATGGTGCTGGCCTCGGCCTGACACTTCAGAATTCACCTCTCAAAGAGCCTCTGGAGAATCAGCCAGCTACAGGCAGAAATCCAGCTGCATCAAGAGGCCACCAAGGAAGCTTATCAAAACTTCCTGGCTTCTAACCTGTGACTTGTCTCCAAACCCACTCTCCTGATCCAGTGAAAGTATACACAGCCATTTACTTGAGCACCTACCAGATGCAACTCCACGCAGTCATTATCCTCATCAATCCTCACCCCAATCCCATGCAGCTCCGTAAAATGGGCACATTTCACAGTGGGAGAACACTGAGACTTTGAGAGGTGGAGTGAGTTATTCAAGGTCACACAGCTAGGGGTCACAGAAATAAGATTGCATCTCCGGCTATGCAACTCCAAAGCCAGGATCCTCACCACTAGCAATACTGCCTCCAAAATGCAGCTGCCCAGCATGGGGACCCTGCCTCAGGCCAAGTGGAGTTGTGGTCCCCAGGGACCTAATATCCCTGAGAAGAAGGGTCCAACGGGCACCCCCTCCCTCCACGACCATCCACTAAGCACTATCACACAGCAGGGGCCCCAGGCCAGGTGCAGGGAGGCTGGCGTGGCTGAGACAGGCTCCCTGACCTCCCACTCCCCCTGGGCCACCTCCAGGGCCTGCCTCTGGCCTGGCATGGATCTCAGTTGTGTCTTTCTCTTCCTTAGCTCTCTCAGGTCAAATATGTCTGGGCCTGGAAGTAAAGCAGAATTTATGCCCCAGGAGAAACCATCTTTGTGTGAAGATGAAAATGAAGGCTGGAAGAACTGGAGACAGAGAGGACCATCCGTCAGTCACTTCACTGTCTCTGAAGGACTGCTTCAGGACATGTGCCAGAGGCAGAAGTGACAGGCATGTGGACAGAATGGAAGCAGGGTGAGGAACACAGGAGTCCAGCATGACTCCTGAGGTTTTGGACTGATTCACCGAGTGGGTGGTGCCACTCACTGACAGCGGGGACCACTGTCTGAACTGTTCTGTGTGGAATGCCTCTCGATCTCCAGGAGGAGATGTGAGCAGGCAGAGGGAAGCTTTCCTGATTATAAACCATTGTTGATAACTTGGCAGGGGGAGGGGAATATCCCCCATCATCCCTTTACCCAGATGTAACAATGTCAATCTGCTCTTCCCTGGGGAAGGAAGCATTTATTAAGCCTTGATCACATGCCAGAAACTTCTCTATTATCTCATATAACCTTCAGGAAGGAAAATAACTTCATTGCTCTTTCTGATTGTAAAAGCAATATAAGCTCTTTACATATATATTAAAAAGATAACTCATAGAGGTATAAAGGAGGAGGTAAAATTCACCCACGATCCCATCGCCCAGAGATAGCAGTCCTTCTAATCGCATTTCCCCTTCTGCATGGATTTGGGAACATCTCCTGGGGCACCTGGGCCGGGCGCTCCTGGTCAACCACTGCAACCCTGCTCGCAGGTAAGGAAACTGAGGCTCACGTCTGCCACATTACACTGACATCCCAGCGGGCCCTGCCCTTGCCTCCAAGGGGTGCGGGCTGCTGGAGGGTCTCAACAAAGACTTGTCAAATGAACAAATGAAAGGGGGCAAGAGTCTGGGATTCCTCCCAGGTTTGTTCAGTCTGCTTACATCATCAGAGGCTGCTTCCAATTTGTGTTTTTCAAAAATCCGAATTCACTTGCAGTGATTATGCAGTGGCTGTGATTTCCTGACGGTTACCCTGAGACACGGGCTGTCTGAGGGAGCAGGTGAATGAGGCATGATTGTTTCCCTGCTCTGCAGGAATAAAGAGCTCCAAAAGAGAGTGACAGGTGATCTAGAGGAGGTTTTAGAAACCACATTTCCTGGAGGTGAAATACTAAAGCCTTCCACGGAGAAGAGTGTGGGGGAATGTGGTTAAAATGCCCCAGTCTGGCCCCGACTTGGAGGGTGGGTAGCTATTCATAATGGTCTGCCAAAGCCTGGATTTCAGACCTGTGCTTTGGCCCAGGTGCAAATGGGCAGAGATTCTCATTTCTGTTATTTCTTGAGCACATTCTATGTGCCAGGCACTGTGCTGCATCCCTTTCCTACACCATCCCCTGTCCCCCTGCCCGCAGTCCTGTGAGGTGGGCGCTATCATGAATTCATTTTACAGATGAAGAAACAGGCACAGATAGTTTCAGACACCTCGCCAAGGCCACACAGCTGGCAAGTGGAGAGCCAGGTATGGAGCAGAGGTCCATGTGACTCCCAATCCCCTGCTCGCAACTGTTCAGAAGTCTGCTGCCTTCCTTCTTCTGGGGTGGGGGTTGGGAGGACGCAGTCAGGAGGCATGCATCTTCCCTTCCTGCCCAGTGGTGGTGTGGGGGCGGGGCAAGGAGCCCGGGGGCCAGAGTTTCCCCTCAAGATGCAGCGCTGAGACCAGCCCAAACATTCAGATATACAAACTTGTACATCCATATCATGGAATACTCCTCACCAATAAAAAAGGGACAAATTTCTGATACACACCGCCACAACACGGGTGAACCTCAAAGATCCTGTGCTGAGATTAAGAAGCTGGGCACAAAGGCAGACACTGTATGGTTCTATTTATATGAAATTCAAGAATAGGCATACCACTCTATGGTGAGAAATCAGAACAGTGGCTGCCCTGGAGAGTGGGAAGGGGGCGCTGCCTCAGAAGGGGCAGACTGGAACTTTCTTGGGTACAGATGGATGCATAAATCTGTCAAAACTCAAATTTCAGATCTGTGCATCCGCTGCAGGTAAATGACCCGTGGGGCTGTGACCCCTGAGAAACCCACTCTCCTTTTACTGCCCCCAGAAGTGGAGGCTGGGTTGGCTCAGGTGTGACCTATGAGTTCTAGAGCTAAGGTCACAAACAGAAAGCAGGTCAGTGGTTCCCAGGGGCTGCGGGGAGGGGAGGATGGGGAGTGACAGCTTAATGGGTGTGGACTTCCCTTCCGGGTGATGAAAATGTTTTGGAACTAGATAGTGGTGATGGTTGCCCACTGAATGCCACGGAGCTGTACACTTTGAGAGTCTCATGCTCCACCGACTGAGCTAGCCGAGTGCGCCCGAACTGTAAACTTTAAAATGTACTTTTATGTTACATGAATTTTACCTTAATTTTTTAAAAGTTAAAAAAAAGAAAGAAAGAAGGTCTTAAGATAAGGGCAGCAGACTTCTGCCCCCATGAGTTCTCACCACCAGGATTTCAGCATTAGTGGCTTCTTCCTCTGTTAGAGTCAGGGCCACACATCTGCCTGCCTTCCCAAAGGAACTTGAGCCCCTTAACCGTGGGCCTGGATACATCTGATTGCTCTCTGCCTGGGCAGTGTGCATTCTCGAGGATTAGGGCATATATCTCATTGTTGAGTGACTGAGTAAGTGGGTTGTGAGTGAATGAATGAGCAAATAAAGACATGTGTGAATGAGTGAATATATGAATGAGTGAAAGAATGAATGAGTGAGCAAATGAATAAATACAGGCATGGATGAGTGAATGAATGAGTGAGTGAGCAAATAAACAAGGCAGTGAAGGGATGAGTGAGTAAATGAGCACCTGAGTGAAGGAGTAAGTGAACGCACCTGGGCCAGACTATGGACTCTGGCCCCAACCCGTGTGTTCCAATCCTGGCTTTGCAATGCAAGTCATTTAACCTCTCCGTGCCTCAGCTTTCTCATCAGTAAAACGGGGGTGTTGGTGGTAGCGAGAAATAAATGAGTTAAAACGTGTCAATTGCTTAGAAGACTACCTGGCAAAGCGAGCCCTCCGTGTTTGTGAACATTAAAGAAATACACATCCATGCGCATGGGGACCCACCGCCCGGCCCAGGGGGCGACGCCCTGGCCCCCTTCCCGGGGGGCTGGGGGGGACGACCTACCGAGCAGCTGCACCTCGTCGGTGATGCCGTAGACGTCGATGAGCGCCCAGAGCGGGCCGCCCACGGCCACGCCGCAGTGGAAGAGCACCGGCTCGCCGTCGTTGACGCTGTAGAAGACGCGGCCGTGGCGGTCCGCCCAGTAGGCCAGCACCGTGTCGCGCAGCGCCAGGTTCTCGGGCAGCGCCTTGGCCCAGTAGCCGGGCCGCGTGACGAGGTCGGGGCAGGCGTACTTGGGGATGTCCTGGGCGCTCATGAGCGACGGGTCGTGCGCCGTGAAGCCGAAGCGCAGCGCGCCGCTCCAGCCCGGGCGCACGGCCACCAGGCGCAGCCGCACCTGCTCGTACAGCCGGATGGGCCGCTGTGTGAACGTGACCCCGTTGCAGAAGCTGTTGCGCCGCGTGGCCCGGCGCGAGTGGCCGTCCAGCCGCACGTTCTTGCCCTTGGCCTGCGTGTGGAAGCGCGG